ATTATAATTTTTAAGAAGATGGAGGGTGTTAACATGGCAAAAGATATTGGATATACCAAGAGAAATCTGGTATAGTTGAAATCTGGACAAGGAGATCAGGATGAAGCTTGAGAGGATTGTATGGAGGTGCACTTGTGATACATTTCACAGGCACTTTTGGTTCAATCCTAAAAGAGGTCTTCGTGAGGGACCAGCAGATAGCGTAATGGCTACATCGCTGGACTCCCATGTAGTCAACTGCGGTTCGAGTCTCGGAGCCATGTGCATGCGTGCCCAAGATCCCGAGAAGAGAATGGAGGAGAAGGGATTGCGGCGTGGCCATTCCCCCTGGGGGGTGATTTCTCACTTTCTGTCTCTCTGTCTTTCTCTTTCTGGCAAGTGCACGTGCCCTATAGCAAAAACAAAACAAAAACAACCTCTCCACAAAAGAGGTCTTCGTGAAATTCTTTGAGTATTATCCACATATGGGAATTGTTATTTAAGCCACAGGAAAATGGCAGAGCTAATAATACTCAGAGATTATGGCCTTAACCAGTTACTTTACTACCTGTTTTTTTGTTTTGCTTTTTAAATTTTTTGTAATATTTACCATAGGGAGTGTGCACTCGCCAGAGAGAGACAGAGAGAGAAGGAAAGTGAGAAATCAGCCCCCCGGGGGGATGGCCACACTGCAGTCCCTTCTCCTCCAGTCTCCTTTTGGGATTTGGGGCACTCGCTCATATGCAGTGGGCGTGATTTTCAAGCTGCCAGGCCCAGGACTCACTGCAGAGTTGGCTTTGTGAGATCTAGTGCTGTCACCACCATGCCACCTGCTGGCCCATGTTACTTGTTTTGATGGATGGGTACTTACCTGTTGCTAAATATTTTGAGTATCACCTGGTTGTCACCCAAGATCAATTAGACTCTCCCTACATTGGTAGTTCTCTACAGCTTCCTTTTGCAGTCAAACTTCCCTCAGATCTCTTCTTCATGTACATATATGGGACACCTGATCTTTAATACTTCTGTGATTAAATCACTTAGTGATCATTTCTTTGCCTTACCTGCCACTCCTACAGTAAATAGTGATTTAGAGATAAATTCCATCTGGACTGATTCCCCTAAAAGGATATTCTAGGCCCTTATGATTGGAATGTTGAGAAATTTGGGAGTGTTTGATCCCATTTCAATGTCACTGGGGGGATGTGTGCATGCCCAAAATCCTGTGAGAAGAGTGGAAAGGGGATTGTAGTGAGGCCATATCCCCTGGGGGAGAGGGATATTTCTCACTTTCTGTCTCTCTGGCAAGTGCACTTGCCATCTAGCAAAAATCTCTCTCTCTCAAAAAAAGTCTAGATCAGATAGGAAGATGAAGCAGCAAATACAACTCCGTGTTATGTTAGTTTCATGCCTTGAAATAGACTTTAGCTACCCAGCACAGATTCCACAACCCTGGCTTCTTGCTCTGGTGTCCTGGGAGTACAGGTAGGCCCAAAGTTCTTTCAGACCCTTTGCCCCGTGGTTCCATAGTCCATGGCATTATCTGTTAGCAAAGTTGTGAGGGAGCAGTAGTGATGTTGCAGTTAAGGCTGCTCTATCCTATATGACCAACTGTGCAGTTGGAATCTGGGCAACTTGTAAAACACATCAACAAGCACGTATGCATTCATGCCCCAAAATCCCAAGAGGATAAGGGATTGTGGTGTAGTCTTTTCCTAGGGAGTGGTCTCTCACTTTGCTGCTCTCTCTGGTGAGCACACACATCCTGAAGCAAAACCAAAAAAAAAAAAAAAAGAGAGAGAAACATTTGGGGAGTTCGACTACCTTTGATCCAGATATACTCCCACTATTGAGGATATATCCCAAAGAGATAAAAATCTGTGTGTCAAAGAGATATCTGCATCTCCATATTTATTACACCTGTTGGGGCTGGCAGGTGTCCTGATGGTTAAGGATGCTGAACTCCCACATGGCTGACTGCGGTTCGAGTCCCGGACCTGGTCGCTTGCTCTCTCACTTTCCCTCTCTCTCTCTCTCATTCTGTCCCTCTTTGGTCAAATTAAAAAATAAGTAAATAAATAAAGTTAAATAAAATAATTATTAAAAAAAACCCCTAAGATGTGGTCTGGAAATGTTTTCCAGGTTATTCCATCTATTCACAATTTATTCCTTTCTATTGCTAAGAAATATTTTATTCAAAGCCAGCAGGTGGCATGGTAGTTAAAGTGCTAGACTCCCACATGGCCAACCATGGTTCAAGTCCCATACTTGGCAGCTTGGTTTCTCACTTTCTCATTCTCCTCTCTCTCTCTCTGGTGAGCACATATGCCTTATAGCAAATTTAAAAAATAATAATAAATAAGTAACATTAAATAAATATGGAGCAGCAGATGGTGTAATGGTTATGTTGTTGGACTTCTGTGACGTAGTCGACTTCAGTTTGAGTCCCAGACTGGTGACTTAAACTCAGGCCGAGCCTGTGTGCATGCATGCCAAGATCTTGAAAGGAGAAAGAGGGGATTGCCATGTTGCCATCTCATTGGGAGGCGATTTCTCACTTTCTGTCTCTCTGTCCCTCTGTGTCTTTCTGGAGACCACATATGCCCTACAGCAAAACCTCTCTCTTAAAAAAAAATAATTCTTTAAAAAAAAAAAGGAAAAGAAATACTCTGATGTATGATTATAACATATTTTGTTTCATTTATTCACATGTTGAAAGAAATTTGAATCTTTCCAGTTTGAAGTGGTTATGAATATGTATATATGGATATATATATGTGTGTGTGTATATATATATATATTTTTTTTTAAGCAAGTGCCCAGCTGTTTTACAAAGTGGTTATACCATTTTGCATTTTTCCCCTAAAGAACTATTTATTTAATTTGTTGTTACTATTATTTTAAAAATTTTGACCAGAGAGAGAGAAAGAGAAAGTGATAAAGCAAGCCACCACATCCAAGCCTTGAACACTTGAACCCTGGCCAGCCATGTGGGAGTCCTGTGTCCCAGCCACCATCCTACTTTTTTTTTTTTTTTTTTTTTTTTTTTTAAAAAGTTTTTTTTTTTTTTGGGCAGTGTGCTTGCTGGAGAGACAGAGACAGACAGAAAGCAAGAAACCACCCTGCAGGGGGGAGATGCCCCACCACAATCCCTTCTCCTTCAGTCTCCCGTTGGGCACACATACACACACACACGCACACACATGCACACACCCCTGATGTGTGTTTCAAGCTGCCAAGTCCATGACTCAAAATCTATTTTGTCTTCTACTGATATAGCTGTTCTAATTTGCTTTTCATTAGTATTTAGATACATTTTCACCTTATTTTTGTCTTTGACCTTATAGTTTCTATCTTGTAGACTGCATATATCGAGATTTTTAATCCAGTCTAACAATTTCTGCCTTTATTAGAGTGTTTATTCCATTTATATTTTGTGTTATTATTGATATAATTGACTTTAGGTGTGCTATTTTATTTTTTGACTCTTTTCTTTTTTAAATTTCCCAGAGGGCATATATGCTTACCAGAGAGAGAAACAAAGAGGGAGAAGCCACCACTCCAATGGGACATGGTCATGCCGTAATGCCTTCTCCTCCATTTCTTTATCCTGATTGGGTTTTGGGCATTCACACTCGCCCCTGGCATGTTTTTCTAGTTGCTGTGGCCAGGATTTTAACCACAGAGTCAGCCATGTGGGATCCAGCTTTCTTTACCAATAAGCTACAGAGCTGGACTCTTTAAAAAGAAAAAGAAAAAAATTATTATTTTAATTTGCTACAGGGCACAAGCCATCACCAGAGAGAAACAGAAAGAGAGAGAGAGAGAGAGAGAGAAGCAAGCCACCAGGTCCAGACTTGCACTGTGGTTAGCCATGTGGAAGTCCAGCACCTTAACCACCACTCCACCTACTGGGTCCATGCTGTTACCTTTTAATGTTTAGCAAATCCTGATCATTACACCATTTTAATTCCTCTGCTGACTTTTTTAGCTTTCTTTTAAATTTTCCCCTTCGTGTGTATTTACGCTAGAGACTACCATATGAATCTTTTCATTTATAATCTATTTCAAGTTAGTACTGATTTAATTCCAGTGAAACATAATAATTTTGCACCCATATAGCTTAATTTCCTTTTCATTATTAACAACTGGCAGCAGTTTGAGATTTTATCCCTTTAATGGATTCTGACAGAAGATACGAGACTCTTGGGTCAGAGACCAAAGACAGTTTATTATTCCCAGTAATAGCATTAGCCAGAGTACTTGTAACAACTCCTTGAGTCCTAAGCCCCAGAGGGTGACAGAACAAGGACTAGAATATAATACAATTCACTAGAGCAAGATTCGTGAATTATGTCAAGAGGATGCTGGTACTGTGGATATTCTGAAATGTAAAAGTTTCACTGTCAAATTTAGGTTTGAGGAATTTTACAACTTTATCTACCTCATATAGGTCCACAATGTGTATATGCATTAGTATATTTAAATATTCAAGAAGTTTTACAGCAAAGAAAGCTGCTAAATTTTTTAAAGCCACAGTTTCCAAAATTACTCAGAATCATCTTTTTATAAATCCTAATGATGTGCAGAAGTGGTATTCCACATTACTCACTTTGGCAGGCATAGGTATAGCAGACAATAGAGATGATATATATATATATATATAGCCAGATATTTAAAAATACTAAGAAACAAAGTATTTATGAAATACAAGTAAAATAGATGTGCTCTTTCTTTTTTTATTATTTATTTATTCATTTATTTATCTTAATTTGACCAGAGAGAGACAGAGAGAGAGAGAGAGAGAGAAAGAGAAAGTGAGAAAGCAAGCCACCAGGTCCAGGACTCAAAACTGTGATCAGCCATGTGGGAGTGTCCAGCGCTTTAACTACTATGCCACCTGTTGGTTCCCCCATGGGTGTCCTCTTTCTCAATCACTTTGAAAGCATTGACTGTTTTCTTGAAACGATTGAAGTCAAGTATGCAACATGTTTATCTGTAAACCTTGTTTCCATTTGTAGGGGATGTGATCAACCTTGGTGACAGGCAGCTCACTGTTATGCACATGCCAGGACACTCCCGAGGCAGTATTTGCTTACATGACAAAGACCGAAAGATTCTCTTCAGTGGAGACGTCGTGTATGATGGATCTCTGATTGACTGGCTGCCCTACAGCAGGATAAGTGATTACGTTGGAACCTGTGAACGTCTGATAGAATTAGTGGACAGAGGTCTGGTAGAGAAGGTACTTCCTGGGCATTTCAATACCTTTGGTGCAGAAAGGCTTTTTCGATTGGCATCTAACTATATTTCAAAAGCTGGGATATGTCACAAAGTTTCTACTTTTGCCATGCGGTCTCTTGCAAGTTTAGCCCTCCGCGTAACAAATTCTAGGACCTCACCCTAGTACCTATACTAATAATCTGTTTTGATGAATGATGTAAGTTAATCCAGTTCATGCTGTGCTGTTTAAAATGATTAATATTAAGCATTTCAAGTGCTTTTATACCACTTGTACATTAGAGGAAAAAAGATCGAGAATAAGCCAAAAAGAAAATTCCTAAGTAAGTATTTTTTTTCTTCTAAGAAATCACCTAAATAAGCTTATAATTTGCCAAAGCTGTCATCTTGTAATATGTGCTCTAGAAATGACATAGAAATATATGGGGAAACGAGGTATTTTTCAGCAAGAGAAAGAACTATTTGCTTCCCTTTTGTTTAATTTTGTTGTCTAAATGGCCTAGGGAAAAAAGGCATACAGAGTGCTGTGTTTATGCTTCAGACTTGATATTTTTATTATGCTATTTAAAGATAGAGGTTCTTGATTTACAATACATTAGACCTCACTACAAATATTTAAACTAACATTTCAAATGACAGCTGAAACATTGCATTGTTATAGCCCTGAATTTTTTATGCTTTCTTTTATTTATTTATTCTTTATGTAATTATAGCATATGTTCTATGTCATGTAATTTAACTATGAAAGGTATAATGAATTTTGTTGTATTATGAAGCTTTAAATATAAATTGCAGCGCTTCAGTAACAAGCTACCATATATTGTTGTTTTACACAAGTAATATTTTCGGTCATAAAAGTGAGATTCAGTTGTCTGTAATCTAAATACAAATTGTCAGATTTCTCCAAAGGACACTGTCAGGCAAATTGAAAATATACACATTGAGAATAATTTTTTATTGTATCCTATTTTAATATTAACAGTTGTTATAAACAAAATTTTTCTTGTTAGGTATAATAGCAACTTCAGTATTGTGTCATTTTTACAGTATCAAAATAACTACAGAGATCTGTAACATCCTACAAAAACATTCTTTTACTTAACATACTCATATATATTGCAGAAGGATTTTCAAGTTAATTGCAAAATGTACATTAGATATTAAATTAGAATTAATTTTTTATCCTGATTCACAACACCTATTCCTGTTCAGTATTCTTTGTCTTAAATTAAGTCTACATTCATAAAGTTGTAGGAAATGTTTTACCACTATTTAGTAAAATGTTTTGGTTTGGTGCTCTTAATAATATTTTATTTAAAAGCCTTTTGGAATATTTCATAGAGATTTTTTAAACAGTTTTTTTCACTATCTTTTTTATTACTGACATGTCTAAAACCAAACTGCGGTAGTTTTGGAAATAATTATTTTTATTATTAGAAAGGTCCAGCAATTTTGATTTAAGAAACATTATGAAACTTTTTCAGTCCTACAGAAACCCAGGTTCTTTAGTTTTATTATTCATTCAACACATATATATCTGCACACATACACACACACACTCACACGCACCCCACATGCATATACACACAATCATGTACATATATACGTAGCACTGCGCTAAACACTGTGGAAGCTTAAAAAGTCCAAGAGACAACCTTTTAGCTAGAAGCTGAAGGCATACAAAACACAAATAAAAATATATGCAAGGTGAAGTTAACGTACCTTACACATGAGTGTAAGGGACATAAATGGAGGGCTATGAAGTTGGTTTAGGGAACATTTCCTGGGGTGGAATTTTTGAGTCAGATTTGGAAGGATGATTTGTTAGGTGGTCAGAGCAGGAAACAGAAAATTCTAAAAACAGGGATGTTAGCATTGCTGTCTAGAGCAGTCTATTTTTTTGTGAAAATATAAATTTAGTTTTTAAGAATCCTCTATCTTCCAAACACCATGTATTTAGCATGAGAAAGATGAGTTTGTGATTGTGTATCTGAGTTATCCTTAATGACAGATAAGCTGAACTGCCACATGCCACCAAATGCACCTTCACTTAGAAAGGAGGAGGCCATGATACACTCAGACAGAGAACATCATGGGGGTTCTCTGTGATGGTCATTCAAGGCACTCAGTCTGCTTCAACTGACCGTACAACATCAAGAAAACATCTGGTTCAGGGCAACTACGGTCACTTAATGAGCCTTAAATATAGCCATTATTTTTATATCAGTAGCACAAAAGAAAACCAAAAGTCCTTAACCATTGACCATTGTATCATATTGTAGGATTTTTTTTTTTTTTAAATCGGGGTATAGTAGGCACTAGGCTTTATTAGGAAATATTTAAACCTGCTGATGATTTTCCTTATTTATTCAAAGTGCAATTGTCCAAAACAAAATGATACTCTCTCTCTTTAATTTCTCATTTTTGCTTCCGTTTCTCCAGTTGTACCACAACATGACTGTGATGTTTTACTTTTACTTCAATATGAATGGAATTGGGGAAAGGGCATCATTCATTCAGTGTCCATGCTGTGCATTCAAAATATGCGTTATTTAATTTAGTCCTCTTCCCTGCACCAGAGGTAACTGGCCAGCTTTACACAGCACAACGTTGGACAGAGCTGGTCACTGAACGCAGGTCTCACAGGTCTGCCTGCCCGCAAACTGTGCTCTTCCTCCTGCCTGCACAATGACATACAATTGGCAAAAGGTACTTTTATTTTCCAAGATGCCATATGTGCCAAGAATAAATCAAATGATGTTAGAGCATAAGAACATATTTTAAAAAAGCTTCTGAAATATATATTTTCACCCTGACAGTGACCCTTATTGTAATTTATGATTTGGGGAAATACCAGTATGTAAGTATAATTCAAAGTTATCAACATGTAAGACATTCAGAAATAATTTTTATCATTTATATTGTTAATATTTAATCTTTGGAAATTCATTTTTCTTATTCGATGTTTCCTCTTAAATGAGAAGCCTAATACTAACAAAAACCTTGTGTGTTATCCTAATATAGCCGAGTAAATGATTATGTGTATTCGTTCTTATATGGATAGTAATATGAATGTGACATGCACAGATTGTCCTCATGTAACTTTCAAATAAGTGTAACTAAACATTTGTGTAATAAATATTAAAGTGGACATTTTATTTCAACATATAATTGGTATTCCTTATAAAATTGGGAAATTTCTTTTTAATTGCTTGTGAGGACATTTGTTATATAAAATGCAGTTTTGAAAAGCCCATGATAAATAGGATGTCAAATCCATGGGAAAGAATAGAGAACCCAGAAACAGAAAAACACCAATACAGTCCTTAAGAATTGGGAACCAGCAGTTAGCGTAATGGCTATGTCGCCGGACTCCCACGTAGTCGACCGCGGTTCGCGTCCCGGACCCGGTGGCTTAAAACTCACGCCGGGCGTGTGTGTGTGCGTGCCCAAGATCCCGAGAGGAGAATGGAGGAGAAGGGATTGCAGCGTGACCATTCCCCCTGGGGGGTGATTTCTCGCTTTCTGTCTCTTTATCTCTCTTTCTCTGTCTGTCTGGCTAGCTCACGCGCCCTATGGTGAAGAAACCTCTCAAAAAAAAGAAAGAATTAATAAATAGGGCATTTCAAATCAATAAGAGATGGACTGGCGACTAGCAGATGGTGTAATGGCTATGTCGCATGTGGTCAACAGTGGTTCAAGTCCTGGACCCGGTGACTTAAACTCACACTGGGCATGTGTGTGTACGTGCCCAAGATCCCGAGAGGAGAATGGAGGAGAAGGGATTGCGGTGTGGCCATCCCCCCTAGGGGGAGATTTCTCGCTTTCTGTCTCTCTGTCTCTCTCTGTCTTTTTGGTGAGCACACACACCCTATAGCAAAAACCTCTCCAAAATAATAATAATAATAATAGTAATAATAATAATTTTAAAAAAGAAATGGACCGTTCAATTAGTGTTACAATTGCTGATGGGGGAAATGCGTTCTCAGCAGTCTTAAAATGAATTCCAAATGAATTAAGATATAAATGTGAAAACAGAACCATCAAACTAACATGTATTAAAAGAAATTTTAAGTCATGTTTAATACCTTACGATAAAAATATTTGCTTTATATAGAAACAAAAAGAAAAATTACATAAGAATTTAAAATGTCTTAGAATTTAGTTGCTAAAATGAACATTACAGAGAGGTGAGAATAAAATATTTATAATTTGTTTAACAGGAAAAAAATGAGAAAATATAAAGAATGCCTACAATCAACAAAATAAGTAAAAGTACTTAAGAAAAGAAAGACTTCTATCCTCTTAGGTTCTGCAGCTGAGTCTGAAAATTAAATGGACAGTAGACAGATTAACAAGTGAAAAGCATACACATTTTATTTCTGTTAACATTATTACATGTTACATTCTTACATTCTTCATAGAGAAGAAATGAAAACCGCACAGAAGCCAGTAGGCCAGAAGTTGTATGCCATTTTAACAAAGAATGATACATTGTTATGTGAGAAGTAACACAAAAGAGGTTTCAATGAGGGCAGTAAATTGTGGGAAGGTGACTAAGAAATATGTAGGAGGGGGACCAGCAGTTGGCGTAATGGCTATGTCGCTGGACTCCCATGTAGTCAACCATGGTTCAAGTCCCGGACCCAGTGGCTTAAACTCATGCCAGGCAGTGTGCATGCGTGCCCAAGAGGAGAATGGAGGAGAAGGGATTGCGGTGTGACCATACCCCCCCGGGGAGTGATTTCTTGCTTTCTGTCTCTCTGTCTCTGTCTTTCTGGTGAGCACACAGGCTCTATAGCAAAAACCTCTCAAAAGAAAGAAAAGAAAAGAAAAAGAAAAAAAGAAAAGAGCTATGTAGGAGGAACAAATGGAAGACAAGGGTTATTTTAGCAGTTTGCTTGTACAGATGCATCTTGGTGCTGGATTTCCATCTTCAGAGATAAGAATGGTTCTCTTTTGATATGAGTAGGGAGGGTACTTCTCTTATGAGGATTTTTTTCTGATATTTTGTTTTTATATATTTTTTTGTACATGTGTTCACCAGAGAAAGACAGGATGAGAAATCATCCAGAATCACCCTTCAGGAGAGATGGCATCACAGTCCCTTCTTTTGCACTCTTTTCTCGCAATTTTGTATACACGCACACACACACACACACGCCTGGCATATTTTTCCTTTCTTCTTTCTTTCTTTCTTTCTTTTTTTTAAAGAACAGTTAGGAGTTTGTTTCTGTTTTTAACTTCTTTTCATTAATTAGTTTGTTTTTTATTTATTTGTTTATTTATATTTGACCAGAGAGAGAGGGAGGGGAAGAGGGAAAGAAAGAGAAAGTGAGAAAGCAAGCTGCCGGGTCTGGGACTCAAACCACAGTCAGCCACGTGGGAATCCACCACCCTTAGCCACCACATCACCTGCCGGCCCCCCTGGCATATTTTTCAAGCTGCTGGGTCCAGGACTTGAACCATGAATTTAGCCATATGAAATCCTGCTGCTTTATCCACCACACCACTAGCAGGTCCACTCATGGGAAGTTTTGTACCCTGCTTTTAGGTAAGAAGGGAGAGGTCAGAGTGATCTCCCTGCATCTCCATTTACTCAGTTACCTTCAGCTAAAATAATGTGTCCGCTGGCATATTTTGAGGTGGCGTGTTTTGATCCCTTTCACTGCTTATTATAAAAATGGGTAAATTGGGGTCAGCAGGTAGCGTGGTAATTAAGGCATTGGACTCCCACATGGCCAACCAAGACTTGAGTTCCAGACCTGGCGACTTGCTTTCTCTCTCTCTCTGGTCAAGTTGAAGAATAACAACAAATTAAATTAAATAATTATTTTCAATAATGGGTAAATTATGTAAGGAGGTTATTCATAGAAGAGAAAATTCAAAGCTCCGATAAACATATAATAACGCTTTCATCAGGAGCTGGCAGGTAGCATGATTAAAGTGCTGGACTCCCACGTGGCCAAACACAGCTCGAGTTCTGGACCTAGCAACTTGCTTTCTTGCTCTCCTTCTCTGTCTCTCTCTGGTCAAAATTTAAGAATAATGATAATAAATAAAATTAAATAATTCTTTTTAAAAATAACAATGCTTTCCTCACTAGTATTCAGGGAGATAGAAAATAATGATACAGTTTAATCAGGTTGGGAAATTTTGAGAATATGAAGTATTGGTAAGGGTAAGTGGATTTTTTTCTTCTTTAGTATTTTGCTGGAGAGAGTAAGTTAACATCACTATGGTCATGCCACAATCTTTTCTCCTCTGTTCTCTCAGGATTTTGAGCATACATGCACATGCACCCTGCATATTTTCAAGCCACTGGGTCTAGGACTCAAACTGTGAAGTCAGCCATGTGGGATCCAGCGCTTCAACCACCACACCACTTACTGGACCCATACGTGAATACTTTATGCTGTGCTGCTATGAGTGTAAAATTCTCCAGCCATTTAGGGACACGATTTTGGAGTACAATTTGCCATATTCAGACACTGGATTAAGAATGGCACATCAAGGGACCAGCAAATGGCATAATGGTTATGTTGCTGGACTCCCACATGGCCAACCGTGGCCTGAGTTCTGAACCTGGAGGCTTGAAACTCACACTGGGCATGTGTGTGTGTGTGTGTGTGTGTGTGTGTGTGTGCCCAAAATTCCGAGAGGATAATGGAGGAGAAAGGATTTTGGTGTGGTCATTACCCCTGTGGAGTGATTTCTGTCTGTCTCTCTGGTGAGCACATGCACCCTATAGCAAAAATCTATTAAAAAAATAATAAGGAAAAATGATACATTAAGGCCCAGATATAGTAGTGCAGCCAGCAATCATGCAGTGCTCTACAATTCTTTTTTCTAAAGAATTTTGGGACCAGCAGGTGGCGTGGTGGTTAAGGTGCTGGATACTCCCACATGGCCGACCATGGTTCAAATCCTGAATCTGGTGGCTTCCTTTCTCACTTCCTCTCTCTTTCTCTCTCTCTGGCTCTCTCTGGTCAAATAAAAATAAATGAATAAATAAATAAAATTAAATAAATAATTTTTTTAAAAAAAGAATTTTACTATAGGGCATGTGCACTTACCAGAGAGACAGATACAGAAAATGAGAAATCACCCCCCCC